TACATGGACTTCTGTAAGGCGTCTGATAAGGTTCCCCATGGTAGGCTGATGGAGAAAGTGAAGTCGCATGGGGTCCAGGGTGTAATAGCTAGATGGATAGAGAACTGGCTGGGCAACAGGAGCCAGAGAGTTGTAGTGGAAGGGAGTTTCTCGAAATGGAGAACTGTGACCATTGGTGTTCCACAGGGATCCGTGTTGGGACCACTGTTGTTTGTGTTATATATAAATGATCTGGAGGAAGGTATAGATGGTCTGATTAGCAAATTTGCAGATGACACTAAAATTGGTGGAGTAGCAGATAGTGACGGGGACTGTCAGAGAATGCTGCAGAATATGGATAGATTGGAGAGTTGGGCGGAGAAATGGCAGATGGAGTTCAATCCAGGCAAATGCGAGGTGATGCATTTTGGAAGATCCAATTCAAGAGCGAACTATACGGTAAATGGAAAAGCCCTGGGGAAAACTGATGCACAGAGAGATCTGGGTGTTCAGGTCCATTGTACCCTGAAGGTGGCAACGCAGGTCGATAGAGTGGTCAAGAAGGCATACGGCATGCTTTCATTCATTGGACGTGGTACTGAGTACAAGAGTTGGCAGGTCATGTTACAGTTGTATAGGACTTTGGTTCGACCACATTTTGAATACTGTGTACAGTTCTGGTCGTCACATTACCAACAGGATGTGGATGCTTTGGAAAGGGTGCAGAGGAGGTTCACCAGGATGTTGCCGGTATGGAGGGCGCTAGCTATGAAGAGAGGTTGAGTAGATTAGGATTATTTACATTAGAAAGACAGAGGTTGAGGGGGGACCTGATTGAGGTCTACAAAATCATGAGAGGTATAGACAGGGTGGATAGCAAGAAGCTTTTTCCCAGGGTAGGGGACTCAATTACTAGGGGTCACAATTTCAAGGTGAGAAGGGAAAAGTTTAAGGGAGATATGCGTGGAAAGTTCTTTATGCAGAGGGTGGTGGGTGCCTGGAACGCGTTGCCAGTGGAGGTGGTAGAGGTGGCACGATAGCGTCATTTAAGATGTATCTAGACAAATACATGAATGGGCAGGGAGCAGAGGGATACAGATCCTTGGAAAATAGGCGACAGGTTTAGATAGAGGATCTAGATTGGCGCAGGCTTGGAGGGCCGAAGGGCCTGTTCCTGTGCTGTAATTTGCTTTGTTCTTGTTCTGGACAGATGCAGACAGGAGAATAAAAGGGTGTGAAGCGTGTGGGAAAGATTTGGAAAGAAACTCAATGATCCCTGGTCACAGGGTCCACTGAGCTGGTCCTTTCAGTTTGTCAGGAGGTGCTCATCCTTTATTCTCCTTCTTCAGATACGTTCATCTGCTTAGAAATTACAGGGTGACTGGTTTCCATTTGTATAGATCTTTGATATCAACTGAAAATCACAGCTTCAACAACTGATGGGGAGAAAATAAATGGCTGACTCTAGGCTCAGAATACTTTTCATTGCAAAGCAAAAACAGCTCCTTCTCCTCCTGTGGTCTGATGGTTTTTGTCAAAATATTCATGTTCCGAGCTGTTCAGCTACCAGGGAACTAATTGCACAATTAGTTGGACCGAAGGTTCTGTTTCCGTGCTGTACATCTCTGTAATTGTTGGCAGGCGGGATGCCTTTGTCATCAATAACTGGTCACACGTCAACAGACCATAAAACAGAGGATCAGAAATAGAACAATCATCTCATCAGGTCCGTCGCGCCGCTCAATGAGATTGTGGCTGATCTAACAACCGCTAAGTCCACCTTCCTGCATTTTCCCTATAACTCTAAATTCTTTTATTGATTAAAAATCTATCTCAGCCTTGAATATGATCTTTGCGTCCTCAGTGTCCACTGGAGTAGTACCAGATGATTGGAGGGTGGCAAATGTCATTCCTTTGTTCAAGAAAGGGAATAGGGATAATCCTGAGAATTACAGACCAGTCAGTCTTACTTCTGTGGTGGGCAAATTATTGGAGAGGATTCTGAGATATAGTATTTATGATTATTTGGAAAAGCACAGTTTGATTAGTAATAGTCAGCTTGGCTTTGTGAGGGGCAGGTCATGCCTCACAAGCCTTATTGAATTATTTGAGGATGTGACAAAACACATTGATGAAGACAGACCAGTCAATGTGGTGAATATGGATTTTGGCAAGGCTAAGGTTCTCCATGGTAGGCTCATACAGAAAGTAAGGAGGCATGGGATTCAGGGAAATTTGGCTGTCTGGATACAAAACTGGCTGTCCAATAGAAGACAGAGGGTGGTAGTAGATGGAAAGTATTCAGCCCGGAGCTCGGTGACCAGTGGTGTGCCACAGGGATCTGTTCTGGGACCTCTGCTCTTTGTGATCTTTATAAATGACTTGGATGAGGAAGTGGAAGGGTGGGTTAGTAAGTTTGCTGATGACATGAAGGTTGGCGGAATTATGGATAGTGTGGAGGGCTGTTGTAGGTTGCACTGGGACATTGACAGGATGCAGAGCTGGGCAAAGAAGTGGCAGATGGAATTCAACCCAGAAAAGTGTGAAGTGATTTATTTTGGAAGGTCAAATTTGAATGCAGAATACAGGGTTAATGGCAGGATTCTTGGCAGCGTGGAGGAACAGAGGGATCTTAGGGGCCACGTCCATAGATCCCTCAAAGTTGCCACCTAAGTTGATAGGGTTGTAAAGAAGGCATATGGTGTGCTGGCTTTCATTGGCAGGGGAATTTAATTTAAGAGCCACAAGGTTATGCTGCAGCTCTATAAAACCCTGGTTCGACCACACTTGGAATATTGTGTTCAGTTCTGGTCGCCTCATTATAGGAAGGATGTGGAAGCTTTAGAGAGGGTGCAGAGGAGATTTACCAGGATGCTGCCTGGACTGGGGGGACAGGTCTTATGAGGAAAGGTTGAGGGAGCTAGGGCTTTTTTCATTGGTGCGAAGGAGAGGTGACTTGATAGAGGTGTACGAGATGATGAGGGGCATAGATAGAGTGGATAGCCAGAGACTTTTTCTCAGGGCGGAATTGACTATTACAAGGGCGCATAATTTTAAGGTGATTGGAGGAAGATATAGGGGAGATGTCAGAGGTAGATTCTTTACACAGAGAGTGGTGGGCATGTGGAATGCACTGCAGGCAGTGGTAGTGGAGTCAGATATGTAAGACATATTTAAGCGACTCTTGGATAGGCACATGGATGATAGTATAATGTAGGGTATGCAGGGTAGTTTGATCTTAGTAGGATAATAGCTCAGCACATCATGGGCTGAAGGGCCTGTACTGTGCTGTGCTGTCTATATACAACAATCCAATACTCAATAGCCCCCAGCTTGACTACCACCCTCTGTGGTAAAGAATTCCATAATTGACCACCCTCTGAGAGAAGACATTCCTCCTCATGTCTGTCCTAAATGGTGACCAACAATTCTGAGATTATGCCCACTGGTCTGAGGGTCTCCCACAAGGGGAAACAACCTTTCTGCATCTATCATAGCAAGTCCTGTAGGAGTCTTATATGTTTCAATAAGGCTGTCCCATATTCCTATCTGCATAAACTACTCAACCTCTCCTAACTGAACTGTCCCTCGGTAACCAGGATGAGCTTAGTGAACCTTCTCTGGACTGCCTCCAGTGCCAGTATTTCTTTTCATAGGTAAGGGGCTCCAAATTGTTCTGGCTGTGGTCTGAATAGTGCCTTTATAGTTTTAGTAAACGAAATTTTACGCTCCATTTCTTGTGAAATAAAGGCTAACTTTCCATTTGCCTTCCTTATTATCTGCCAAACTTGAATTCATATCTCGTTATATTTCTTACATTAACAGTCCTGAACCTGGGGCTCGTCCGCTTTTCTTTTTCTTCCCCTTTCTCCTCTTTTCTTTTGTTTCTCCTTTATTGGCAGCATCGGAGGCGTAGGCAACAGTGATTCTTTCCTGGAACACCGGCAGCAGCGAAAGCTGTTCCTTCGCTGAATGGCAGTCCCAGGAGGCAGCAGCGGCGGCAATGCAAGGCAGAACAACACACCTCAGCCCGAAGCCCAGTCTTCCTCTTCCTCCGGACACACAGGCTGACGTGAGGCTTCAGGTCATGGCTGGGTCCGGGTACCTGACAGCGGAGGCGGGAGCGTTCCACTGTTGCAGCTTTGGCGGCAGGGAGGGACTTGAGGCATTCAAAGACTACAAGACGAACTTCATAGCTAGTAGGAACTGCAGATGCTGGAGAATCCGAGACAACAAGGTGCAGAGCTGGATGAACGCAGCAGACCAAGCAGCATCATAGGAGCAGGAAGGCTGACGTTTCGGGCCTAGGTCCTTCTTCAGAAAT